AGCCCCCGGGGCTGGGGGTCCTCCCCGCCACCTGCTTCCTCCTCCTCCTCCTGCTCAGCGTCACAGAAGGTGGCAGGGGGCTCAGGCAGCTCATCCAGGCTCAGTAGAGGCCCCTCATCGGGCAGTGCAGCTGGGGGACCCTCAGGGACTGGGGCAGCAGGCAGGGGCCAGGCAGCTGGGGGGGTGGGCTCAGCACTCTGCCACAGGTCGATGAGGCTCTCGGGGTTGGGGGTACCCCCGGGCTGGGGCTCGGCAGCCGCAGGTGACAGGGAGGGCTCAGTGGGCTCCAGGGTCACCAGGTCCCCCAGGGTGTCACCCCCTGATGTCCACTCTGGCCTGGTGCTGGGCTCATTCCCGGAGGGCTCGGTGGCCTTGTCCTCAGGCCCTGGGAAGGGCCAGTGCTGCTCAGGGGTGGCTGAGCTGGCCTCCTGGGCACTGGGGCTGGGGGAGTCTGCAAAGTAGGGGGGATAGCAGTTAGTGGGGACAGACTGCCCCCCTCATTCAGGGCCGAGTGACACCCAGGGATAGGGTTGCAGCTGGTGTGGGGGGGAATGTTTGTCCTTTGAGCTGGTCTGTGGGGTCCTTTGGGAGATGCTTTGGGGATGGGTGGAAGCAGCTGGGCAGGGAGGGACAAATGGCATTCAGGACGGGGAGAGGGGACATGGGGGTGAGGGGCAAAGTGATCCCTTGGGAGGGGGGTGCTAAGCCCTGCTGGGGTGGGAGGCACAGGAGAGGATGGGGAGGGGTGCACTGGGAAAGTACGGAAAGGAAAATTGGGACATACCAGAGGATGCAAAGGGGCCAGTAGGGGATGTAGCAGGGACATATGGGGACTGCAGCAGAGCTGGTTGGGATGTACTGGGGATGCAGTGGGACAGTGGAGATGCACAGAGGGAAGCATCAATGCTGCCAGGGATGTACTGGGGGATGATGCAGGTGGGGCAGAGTCACACTGGGGGATGCAGCAGAGCCAGCAGGGCTGTGCTGGGGTGCTGCTGTGGGGATGGTGGGTGTGCATGGAGCAGAGAATGCACTGGTGATGGAAATGCACCAGCTGGGCCAATGCAATGGGGACGCTGCATGGGGAGGGGGGTGTGCAGCAGAGACAACAGGGATGCGCTGGTGTTAGCAAACGCACTGGGGACAGCAGGGATACAACAATGACAGCATGGTTGCACTGGGGAGGGAAGCAGCAGAGACGGCGAGGAGGCACCGGCGGACACAGCAGAGATGGCGCAGGATACACGGCGGGAAGCAGATGGGACAGCACTGATGCACTGAGCCATGCGAGGGGGGCTGGCAGGGCTGCAGCAGGGGCTGCAGCAGGGGAT